AAAAAAAAAAAAAAAAAAAAAAAAAAAAACCCAAAATAAATAAATAAATAAAAGAAAAGAAAGAAACAAGCTGGGCTATATAATAAATGTGTAACCATTCCCCAAGATGATTGCAAACTGCATGAACTGCAAATATACTAAAAAATTTAAAAAAGCAATTATTCAAGAAACAGAAATAGAATGCATATGTATATGAATTTAAGATGTTATTTTTCTTAAGATAAAATAATACTCATTTTTGTGTGCTTATATATATTTTCTTTATGCATTTATTCATAATAAGGCACCTAGGCAGATTCCATTGGTTGCCATTGTGATTAGTGCTGTGATAATTATGCACATCATGTAGGCATTTCTATACTGTGCCAAATCTCATTTCCTCAAGCATACACTAGGAAGTGGCATCCCTGGATAATGTGATAGTTCTATGATAAAGTTATTGAGGAACCTTCATGATGCATCCAAAGTGTGAGACAGATGAGAAATTCCTGACACTCACTTTTAACCTGTGCCAGCCAGAGAGGTGTACGGCTTCACACACGGCTCTCATGCCCTTCTCCTACTTTTCCCTTTGCTCCCGCTAGGGTCCCAGAGGATTGCTGGGGGCGACATGCTTTTTGTCTCAATGTCCTCTCACCATCCCTGAGGACGCTTCATCTGAGAGGAGGTACCATTAGCTATGATATCCCTTCCCCACTTCTCATGAAAGTCGAGGCCACCCTAATGTGATGATGATCCAGGAGGTAGGAATCTGGGCTCATTACTAACATTTCTAACCTTCCCCGAGTCCCAATAAGTAGTGATGAGTACAGCTAGCCCTCTTGACAATTCTGTAGTTTCAGCCAGAGACATAACAGTTGTCAGAAGAGCAGCTCCCACTTACAATTGAAGTGACCTTCCACTGAACTGCCTCCAGGACAGCCGTAGCTCTCATAGATATGCCTCACTTACTCCTGCAGCCAGTTGGGCCAATCCCAGGCCTTCACGTGGACCAATCTGCAGGCTGAAATCTGAACCTATTATAGGCTTACATTTGAAAGACTCATAGGCATACAGCTGTGACATAAGCAACTCTCTCTTTTCGTTTTTGCAGTTAGTGTTGGAAATTCCTTCAGATTCCCTGTGCTGCCACACAAGTCCTGTTAAAAATAAAGCCTCACTCTAATGGCCCTGTAAAACTGCTCGTGGTTTATTTCATGGATAGTGTGGGCTCAGAAGGTCCTGTATATATAAAATCAGGATTTTTATCCTGACTAGTGTAAACAGAGTAGTTACTCTAAAAGACAGCATAAATATTAGAGACAGTTATCCCTGAAGTGTTCCAGAAGCTAGCCGCCAGCAGACATCAGTTCCAGCTAGCAACAACCATCAGAATGGACTGACAACAATCAATAGAAGTTGGTGTTGAACTGTAGCAGCCAGCATCAAGCCAAGAGCAGCGCCTAGAAGTACCGACCAATAACATCCAGCATTATCTGGCATCATCAGAGCCATCAGCAAGGTTGTACTTTGGCAATTTACGATTTTTTAAATCTAAATCAAGCAAAAGATCCCTCAATGCCCTGGTAACAGTTGCATTAACACATGTTCCCACATTCACTTTGTGTGAATTTAGTTTGTTACATGTACTTAGATGTTTGTCTGTTTCCTTCAGATTTTCCAATTAGTGAGAATAAGTAACAGTAATCCCTTCTGACTCTCAATTTCAGTGCTAGTTGGCATAATATTCCTCCTTTTACTCTAATTATTTATTGGAGTTTTTTTTAGTTCTGATCAGGATATATCAATTTTGTCTATTTTTTCGAAAAGCCAACTCCTTGTTCCATTGATTTCTCGATTGGTTTTTCATCTCTGTTTCAGTTGTTTTGCTCTAATCTTTTTTTTCTCTTCTCCTTCTCTTGTTCATAGTTTTCTAAGGCCCTGAGAGACATCATTAAATTATTCTAATTATGTTGTAGTCTGAGAAGATGCATGAAGTTATTTCATTTTTATAAATTTTAGTGATTTGTTTTGTGGCCTAAAAGGTTCTATTGAGAAAACTTTCTGTGTGGATGAAGTGAACACTTTCTACAGCTATTTAATGAAGATGTCTGTGAAGTGCACTTGATATGTAACATAATTTAACTCTGATGTTTCTTTGTTAATTTTTCCCTACTATTGGTAGCACTGTAATATTGAGGTCATTCACAATTTATTACGTTGGAATTTGTTTCTCTATTTCTGTGCTACAGTGTTTTTAAAATTTTATTTTATCAGTACATGTTTACAATGCATGAAGTGTACATCCATTGAAGGGCACAGGTGTATGCACAAAATACATATTGACTCTCTTTTAATCCCCTTCTCCTCCCCACCCATCTCCCTCCCTTTATCTCTAAAGCATCTTTCCCTGTTTTCATTATTATTGTTATTATCATGGTTTTTAGTACATGCTTATGACTTACAATGTTTACATTTACTGTGAGCTTTTCTGCCATGTCTTCCTGCCTTGCAGCCACCTGGCTATGGACTGGAATCTCTGCAAACTGTAAGCCAAAGTAAACCTTTCTTCCATAGAGAAGTTCGGTAAAAATTATTATTCAACTGGAGAGAGTTTGGGTCTTAAAGAAAACTGGTGCAAAACATGAGACACATCGGGATTGTGGTAGGAGGTTAATCTGAAGAGACCCACACCTCGGGGTGGAGATACGGTAGCGAGGACTTTGAGCCTGCTGTGAGATAAACAGCTGCCTGACGTGATGCTGTAATTAGCACTACCTGGTGCAAAGGTGGACGACCAGACTATCTGGACCATACTCCTATCTCTGCAGGAATGCCTTTGTTCTTTCCGCGTACCCTCGTTATGTGACTTGTTTCCCTATTGGATCAATATTAGCTAAGTGATTATACTTGTAATCCTCCTATAGCTTGACTGTGGTTTGACCCACATTGTACCCACGTTGCGATTTTGCTGTATAAAGGACCCCTGACGAAGAGCCTTGGTGGCCACCCACCTAAGACCCTTTCTGGAAATCCAGGAGCAGTTCTTCTCCTTGTTTTCAATAAAACTTTCCTCATTTTCTCCTTTGGTTCAAGACTTCATCCCTCAATGTTGTGAGACAATGTAGTCGGCACATCTCACATCTAACAGGTTGGGAGTTACTGTATTTTCCCCATAACGGTCTCAACACATTTTATATATATTTAACTTTGCTGCCCTAGGAGATTACTTCTGTTTTCAAATCTCAAGCTACCTGCTCACAACAGCAAAGACCAGAAAAGTTAAGTAAAATAATTTAAAAATATTTTTCATAATATTCTTTCCAGCTGTGAATAACATACGCATATACATATAATTAATAAATTGATACCACTTTTTTCATGTTAGTGTGGATTGAACACAGGGCCTTTACACACAATTACACCCCCAGCTTTTTTTTTTTTTTTTAAGACAAGGTCCAGCGAAGTCACTGAATTACACAGGCTGTGCCCAGATTTTGATCCGTCTGCTTCAGCATCCCAGAGTGCTGAGATCTATCATACGCCACCATGCCCAGCTTTGATATGACTTTAAACGAAGTTTAAAGGCAAACTTGTCCCCAAACGGTAAGTACTCCCACAAGGAGGAAGTACGACCTTAAAAATGGCCCCCACTAGAGGATTTAGATCAGGCGAAACCAAGAACCTGCCATCCAGGCCTTGTTCATCCTTGGATTGATGCCTTCTGCAGTCATCCAGCATCTGGGGAAGGGCTGAATCCCTGTCCAGTCAGAGGCTGAGAGCTGTCCAATCAGACGCGGGGCCCGAGCGGAAAGGGCGGGCTTTCACCAGGTCTGGGGCCTTTGTCCGCGAGCGGCCCATCTCTGCTCCGCGTTTTCCCATTCAAGCCCCAGGAACTTTGCTGCGGCTTTAGCAGTTTTTCTTCTCTGTGACCAGCTGGTGGGAGATCCTCAGGAAAAGGGCCGAGTTCCCCAGAAGCCAGACATGGTAAGTGTGCGGCCTGGCATCCGAGACGGGGGAGGGAGGCAGCGCGACCCCTCGGGGAGCCGTGGCGGGGCTGGCGCTCTGCAGCGCTTCGGGGTCTGCGGCCTCGGTCCTCCGCCCTGGCCCTTCCGGTGGCGCGGTGACAGCGAGGCGCCAGCTGGGACGCCGCCGACCCGTCCTTTCCCGTCCCTGGAGGGCGACTGCATTCCTGAAGGAGGCCTTTCGGGGCCTCAGGGCCCCTCGTCCCCTCTGGTTTCCGGATTGGGCTGGGGCCGCAGCCTGCACCTGGGCGCCCTGTCCCGTCCCTGCAGCCCTACGTCTGCACAGATGGTGGGGTGACAGCGTGGAGGGTCATCGGGACGATCCCAGCTGTGTGTGTTAGCGTTAGAGGAGCTGTTGGCCACGCATGGCCAGCCTCTCCTTGCCCTTTGGGATCGCCCAGTTTCCTCTGAGGTTTTTAAACACCCATATTTTCTACCTTTATTTTTGGTGTTGAGGATGGAACCCAGGGCCTTGCTGCATCTTTTAGGCACATTCTCTACCACTGAATTATGCCCCCAGCCCTAAACCCTGCAGTTTGAATATATGTTAGCACGGTAAAGCTACCTACCTCTATTACTCTTGTAATTCAGAAGGTTTTTTGGCTAATTTCATATATACATATATTTGAATTTTTCAGGTAAATAAGAGAATTTTTAGGTTTGGTACCTTCCATTGAAAATGAAGCACGTTGAAATTGTAATGGAATGATATAGGTTAATTGGGGGACATGGTGACTTGTAACGAGCTTCATCATCTACAAAGGATGTGTGCGATGGGTTTTTTTTTTTTTAATGTGCCTTTGCAGATTTTTAACAAGTTCTGTATATTTCCTGTTTAATACATGCACGTATGTGAAATATCAAATACATGTATTATATAGAATTCGCGTGGTGTTTGTTACTATTTGTTAAACCCGACAATAGGATCTACAGCGTTGCTGGAACATAGAAAGTGCCTCACACTTTATTATGTGTTTCATCCTGAATGTGCCTCCTCTTGTGCTTACCCCCTAAAGTTCACTTGTTTGCACCACTTCTGCTGTGTCTTCTTATATTAGGGTTCTCCTGTACACTGATTTATAATTGTGGTGGGATATAAGAGCTGAGTTGTTTCTCCAAGTGGATATTAACAACTCACTCTCCATCTTCAGTTCATGATTGTTTCTTCCGTCCATGTCTTTATCAATACTGTCAGGGGCTGGGGATTTAGCCCGGTACCAAAAACAACAACATAAGTTTGAGGAGTAATGACATTAGATCTTTAAGTTTGGGGGATTTAGCTCAATGGTTCTGCTGCCTGACTTGCAAGCACAAGGGCCTGAGTTTGATCCAAGTATCAAAAAAAAAAAAAAATTATTCAATACTGTTGTGATTTTTAAAAAAAAATTCTGAAGATGTTGCGCTTTTTTGATGATATTGAACATTTGATCTCCTATGTAATGTGGCTGTGTAAGTCTCTTGCCTGTTTTTCTTACAGAGCCTCTTGTCTCTTCTTTTTTTGTTTAAAATGTTTAGTTAGATGTGAGGCAGCTAGTTTCTTCCACTCTGTCACTTCACTTTGCAGTCTGTAATGGGTTAAAGTCACAAATACATTATTTTAATGTCCTTTTGTTTTTGTGGTATTGGGGACTGAACCCAGGGCCTTCACACTGAGCTGCATCCCCAGCCATTTTATAATTGTGACACTGGGTCTTGCTAAGTCACCAAATTGTCCAGGCTGGATTTCAACTTTTGATCCTCCATCCGTAGTCTCCCAAAATGCTGGTGCTGCCACACATGGCTTAATATCTAGTTTATGAATATTTTATTTTTATATTGTTTTATGTGACTTTGAAAGAAATAATTTCCTTTCCTAAAGCAGCTTGAATGTTTTCGAGTTTGGTTTTATACTTAGGTATTTCTTGCCTCTGAAAATGACTCATTATGTGGTATGAGGAAAAGGTACAATAGCATTTTTGCCACATAGATACCTTATTTTCCCAGCAGCTTTCATTCCAAAGGGAGTTTTCTTTCTTCTCCACTACAGTGCAATCATTGTCATGTGTGTGCCTAAAAGGAAATAGTCTTTTTATGTATTATAGTTTTTAGCTTAACTGGTATACGTATCTCTACTAGATCAACACTGATTTATAATGTACAGTCGTGTGCTATATAATGATGTTTTGGTCAATGATGAATTGTTTTTAAAACACAATGGTATCTATAACATATAGCTTGAGTGTGTAGTGAGCTGTGCTTTCTAGGTTTCTGTAAATACACTATGATGTTTCCACAATAAAGGAATACCTTTTTTCAAAATGTGTCGCCATAGGCCAGGCATGGTGGCGCACGTCTGTAATCCCAGCACTTGGGAGGCTGAGGCAGGAGGATTGCTGTGAGTTTGAGACCAGCCTGGGCTACATAGTGAGTTCCAGGTCAGTCTCAACTACATAGTGAGACCCTGTCTCAAAAAACAAAACAAAACAAAAAAAGTATCCCCATGATTAAATGAGCCATGACTATATGTAAGCGTATATATTTTACAACTATGTAAAACATAAAAAAAAATATAAAATCAAATTTCCCAGAACTCTTTGAATTTTATTAGTCTTTTAAAAAAGAACCAACATTTGGCATTGATGTTACACTCTATTATTTATTTTAATAAAGTTCAATTTTGTTCTTTTATTAAGAATTTTTATATCTTTATAAGATTTGTCTTTTCTAAGTTTTTGAGACAGATGATTAGCTAATGGATTCTTACTCTTATTTTACTTGTTTAAGACTATATTTCCTTTTAATCTTAGATTTACATGTATAATACTTTTTTTTACAAATTTATTGAAGTGTAATTGACAACATTTACCTATGTTTAACATATATACTTTTGATACATGCACACATCTGTGAAGCTAGTACCAGAGACAACATAATTAATATATCTGTTAACCACTGTGCCCTCCAGTGCTCTTTTCAATCTTCTTTCTGCTCATCACCACCTTTTGTTTAATAGATATAGGACTTATTAGTAGACAGAATTGGGAAAAACATCAAAATTTACATCAGTGAATTATTACAAAATAAACACACAGTATAATTATTACCTAGGTCAAGAAATGGAACCTCTGCATGCCTTTTTTTATCAGTACCCTGTCTGTTCTTTGTAGTGGTAACTACTAGTTTTCACTGTGTGGTGTTTTTTTTTGTTGTTGTTTTGTTTTTTTGGTACTGGGGATCAAACTTGGTCCTTATGCTTGCAGGGCAGGCTGCGAAACCACTGAGCTAAATCCCCGGCCTGGTAACTACTCGTTTACAGATCTAACTAGTACTGTTAGAGTATTCTTATAGATTCTTTAGCTGCATTGCTGTCCCTCTAGAAGCAAAATGAATGACTCATAAGGGCACACGTGTGAAGTTACTGCCAAAACAAGTTCTAAAGTGGCTCTAGTAATTTGCATTGCCAGTGGCATTGCTTGCCAGTTTCACGCTTGAAAAGTTTTATGATCGATAGTGTTGTTTGTTTGTTTTGCCAGTTTTGCTTTTCTTTTTACCTTTTTGGTGATCATGCAATAATGTGTGCTTGTTTCAGTTTAGTGTCTCTATGTTGGTACTGATTTGTACACACATTATTTTGCTTTTTGTGGTGCTGGGCATTTACCCTAGGGTCCCCACACATGCTAGCAGTTATTTTCTACAGACTTACACCCCAGTCATGTTCATTTATTTATTTATCATTTGAATGTCTTTTCCTTTGTGACATGCTAGTTGAATTTTCTTAGCTATTTCTTTGTAACTTTTTTCTTAGTAATATATAGTATATCATATATTCTGTAACAAGCTGTTTACTATAAATGTATACTGTACATAGATTTTCAAATTCCTTATCTTAACCATTGTGTGCTTTCTTTGTTACTTTTTTTTTTTTTTTTTTTTTTTTTTTTGGTACCAGGGGTCAAACTTGGGACCTTGCACTTCTGAGGCAGGCAATAGAACTACTGAGCTAAATTTATGAACAAAAATTCCTAATTCTATTTATTACCCTTTTTTTCTTTAAATTTTTTACTTTAAAGTATAAAAACCTTTTCCTAATAAGGTCATAACTTTCACAAGGATTATTTAACAAACCCTGTAGGGGAAGTGACTACTGGTTTACCTTGAGAAGGTAATGTCTCCTGATGTGGGGCAGATCTATGTTACTTGTTGAAATCATGTTGACCATTTCATCCAGTCCTCATGTTTACACGTCTCCTTGCAGTTAGACAGGGCCAGAGAACTTGGCGTGATCAATGAGTCACTTCCAAGCTAAGTATTTTGATGTGCTCAACCTGATGCATGACCCAGATTCATCAGCTGTAAGGTGGTACTCTAGTATGAGGAGTGGCCTTAAAGTGTGAGTTTTTGCAGTGTGAGTTTTTTTTTTTTTTTTACCTTGTGCTTTTTTCTTGTCACAAGAGGTGTGTGTGTGTAAAATAAATAGTTTCTCAATGTTAGTAGTTTCAAACTTTCAGGTCTTATGTCTTTGAGATTGTTTGAATTGATTTTTGTACATCCTGAGAGAATTGGATCTTGTTTTTTTATATCTTTGAATTCATTGGTCAGGTTTTTTCTGTTAAGTTTTTGACATTTCTTCAACTTATTTAACTATGGATTCAGTTATTGGGGATTTATGGACTTTGGGTGGTATCTTATTTTCTCATTTCTTAATTGAGATTTGCATATCTGTTGGGAAGAATGTCTCTTCCACAATTATTTGAGAACCTGTGTACTAAGCATCTTTGTATGTGATGTGCTCTGGTGTGGGCATACCAAAGTACCCACTCAGCACGTTCCAAGTGCTAGTTTCAGTCTCTAGCTCTGCTTTAGTAGAACATCTAAAAGTAAACCGACAGGTCCCCCAAATTGGACCCCCACCCAAGTGGACCTGTTACCCACATCCACAGGAGCACAGAGATAGCAAGAAGCCAGCAGCTGCCCTGCTGCTCTCACCACCACCCTGTTTATCAGCCAGCTCCAGGCCCACCATCCAGGGGGCTCTAAAATTTTTCACCGTCTTGACCAGTGCCCTCTCCCCTACCTAAAATGTCAGCCATTAGCCCTCTCCTTTCAGTGCCAATGTCCTTCTCGCCCAAGATGACAATAAACTCATTGTATGCTGCTTAGACTTTGTCTGCCTTGGTGGCCTCAATCGTTCTGACCTTAACAAACCATACATGAGCGTGTTTAAAACTTAATTAAAACTCATCTGTACAATTCCCTTAAGCCATAAAAAGAGGGAATTAATTTAGAATAGTCTAAAAAGTTATGCAGTAATCATAGGGAGCTTCATATCAAAACATAAAAAGTGTGCTGGAAAAGAGAATAAAATAAAAGAGAAACCAAAAAAGATGAAAGATGGGAATAAAAATAAAGAGAGGAAAAAAATTCCAGTTAGTGTTTTAAAATATATAAAATTTGTTAACAATATGAAAAATTATTGGGAGAAAACACAACACAATAACAGGGAACACAATAGAAGCAGAAGCTAATAAAAACAAAACTAAGATTTCTCCTTGCTGATGTATTGAAAATGTAGACATTTCTTTTCTGGGCTTCTTCTATGAAAATCTGCCACATATTAGGAGCAACGTGAAACACTTCTGTCCAGAATGTTCTTTCTTGGCTTATATAAAAACAGGCCAAGCCATTGTGTGCAGCCTATAGGCTGGTTGCCATTTCTTTCTTACAGGTGAATGCTAAGATAAAGTTGATGGTGTTGGGGCTAGATTCACCTTCAATGCCTCAGTGTGTTTTATGTGCATGGGAATGTGGCTGGATTTGAGCCAACTGTCAGGGCTCTCACTTGCCCATCTGAGAGCTTAGTCCAGGTTTGGGGCCTCAGCTCTTCACTCAGTGCACTCATTGGCATGGCTGGCCTTGGTCCCAGTGGTGGCATCACATATTCTGAATGCCTCTACATGGGATAGAGTTTGCTGGGCCCCAGAAATCTGCATTTGGGTAGGAAGAGGTGGGTACCAAGCTTTCTACTAGATCCAGTCTGAACAGTTCTGGGCCCAGACCTCCATAATCCATATTCCGCTCATCTCTCTCCCTGACCTAATGTCAAAATGTACGTGTGTGTGTGTGTGTGTGTGTGTGTGTGTGTGTGTGTGTGTGTTTTAATAGAATAAGATGCTCAACTTTAGTTTTCCTCTGCGTAGTAGCTGGTGCCCTGCTTAGTAGACTGCACTTTAATCTAGCTGCTGATATCCCAATTTCCTGCCAACCACCAGTCTGTGCTTCACCTGAGTTAACATATTTTATTTAGGTTGTTGACAATGTTAATTTTATTTTTGAGCCAAAAAACATTGCTTCTAAAATGTTTTCACATTTGAAAAAAATAATAGGTAAAAAGTTCTGAAAAAAATAGAAGAAAGTCATTCTTTATCATGCTCTATAAAGGCTAACTGCTATATGAGAGGAAAACAGACATACACACATTGAACTTCAAATAAAATTGATATTTTTCCAGGAGAAGATTGATTCTACTTCATTTTATCTTCTTTTGTTTTTATTTTTTTGTTGCTACTTTTGTTGAAGCCATGAACATCACAGCAGTGTTGATGTTCCATCTCAGTACACTGACACTTGGTAAAGCTTTTTTTCCTTTATAGCTTGTTTAACTTAATTTACTTGGTTAAAGTGCTACCCACTACGATTTTCACTAGAAAATTGCTATTCTCTATTTTACTAGGTATCTTGGTGATGTTTCTTGAATAGTTTGCACTAAAAAAAAGGATTTTGTTGCTGTCTTTGCTAGTATATTAAATTGTTGAAATACTGTGAAAAATCATTGAACCAAATCAGAATTCTACCATGGTGTTCTACCTTTTAGCTCTCCAAAATACTCATTTTAGCATCACTACTGAGTTTGCTATATATTCTGACAGCAATGCCACACCCTAGAACTACTGAATCAAAATCTGCTTTTTAATATGCTCTCCACTTTATGATTATAACATTAAGTACTCTTTTAATTTATGATGCCATTTTCAACTGAAAAACATCCAGAACTTTGTATAATAATACACTGTGTTGATGCCTTAATTTTCTTATTTAAAATTTATAGGGTCTAGTATGTGTGCTGGCTTTGTAAACCTTGTATCCCACTCTTATCTCAGAATTAGAGACTACATTAGAGAATACTACTGTGTTTTGAAGTATCTAACCAAATAATAGAGGTCATGCTTCTATGTGAAGAGTTTGAACTCTCCATTCATATTGGATCAAATTAAGAGCTCTGCTGATAGCTACAGAGTCAGTGTGATAATTACTTGTTTATATTTCAGGAACTGTTGACATTCAGAGATGTGGCCATTGATTTCTCTTTAGAAGAATGGAAATGCTTGGACACTGCTCAGCAGAAGTTGTATACAGAAGTGATGTTAGAGAATTACAGAAACCTGGTCTTCCTTGGTGAGGAAAATTTCCCTATATAGTTCCTGATTCAAAACAATTATTTAATTTTCATTCTTTTTAAGAGTACCTCTTGGGAACTTCTGATTTGCATCAAATTCCTGCTTTTAACAACAACAACAAAAAAAAATTGGAGGTTTCTTGGTATAAACAAGTGAATTTTCATGACATTTATTTTTCTCTTTTGTGTCTCCTTCCTTGAAATAGTATATATCCTTCACTTTATATTTATGGTAAATTTAGAAATTCGGTGGTATAAAATTAAGAAATTCAGTGGTATAAAGTATAAGAAATGCCAGTTTCTCCCCCATAGTTTTGATTTCACAGTAGATGAAACTGGAGTTCAGGATCTATACATTTTAAGTGCTTCCTGTGTTGTCTAATGGTTGTCAGGAACAACATTTGAAGAAATGATGTTATAAAGTTTTCTAGTTGCTGGGAGTATCTAAAGCAAGTGTTACGTTCCATTTTCTAATTAATAGGTCTAAGTGTCTCCAAACCAAACCTGATCACCTTCCTGGAGCAAAGTAAAGAGGCTTGGATTATGAAGAGTCAAGGGACAGCAGCCATTCCTCCAGGTATGTAAGAATTAGTCAAGGAAACAGGTGAGAGTCATAGTTCAATGAGGAAGCTAGGCTTTGATATGTGGATTAAGAAGCTCTGTTAAGGTGGAAGTGATTTTTCAGAAGCCGAAGTTCCCTGCCCTGTGTTCATTACCCTCCTATTCTCTTTCTGCCCTGCTGGTGATCGCCCATCCATCCTTCTCCAGGACACAGTCCTGTGAGTGTCTGCATGCTCTGTCTTAAGGCCTCGATGTTAATCAAATGGAATATATTAATGACATCATAAAGAAATTTCCTTAATGCAGTTGACATTTTATTCATTAAAATTGTCTCAAAAGAGTACTTTATGAATGACTATAATGGATATTATGTGAAATTCTTATCCATACACTGAATGTCAGTGAAACAAAATGCATGGTCATCATGGTATTTTGTTACAAATGCCACTGTGTAGAATAATATTTACTTAGTGTATTTATGTTTATTTGGATAGATAAAAATTAAAATTTTCCTTTTTCTTGATTTGCAATTTTATTTTCCATGATTCATTCTTGAGAGTATTCTCTCATCAATTAATTTTACTGCATATATTGATTAGATGACTTGAAACTTTATATGACATTCTCCTTTGACTAGTGTGTCAGTATTTGAGTTAAAATATACTATGTTAACACTATTTATTTCCTGTAATTGTTTTTCCTACTTCAGTTGTTTTACTTACTGGTCATTGATTTTTTTTTTGAGACAGGATCTCACTATGTAGTTGAGACTGACCTGGAACTCATGTAGCCCACGCTGGTCTCAAACTCACAGGGATCCTCCTGCCTCAGCCTCCCAGGTGCTGGGATTACAGGCATATGCCACCATGCCCGGCTTGGTCATTGATTTTTATAGTGACATTTTGCTTATTTTTTCTTTTTAATCTTATATAGTTATTTAATTTGTCATTAGATTTTAAATTTATAAGAACTTTTTAAATTAGAAGAAAACTTCTATGCTAATAGCAATCAACTTGAATTCCATATTAAAAATATATTTCTCTCTTCAGCATTGTTATTGATGCCACAAGTATTATATTTTATACATGTTAAAGTTATTGTGATGTTTTGTATCCTTTTATCGTTCATATTCTATAGCAGACTGGAGAATGATTTTTGCATCTTTTAGTACAGAATTCTGTAAGTGCATATGAATTTCTTTGTGACATAAAATTTAATGATTTATCTTTCTATACAGAGTTATTTTATTTTCCAGTGGGATGACCTCCATTTTGCATTTCTTCTAAATTTCTAATGGTATTGAACTGTTGGAGAATTTCTGTATCTTGGAAAGTATTTACTTTTTATTCAAGAGAAGGCCAGTTATACTGGATGCAATATTCTTTGCAGTGATTGTTTCTATCAGCACTTTGTTTTCTCTAATTCCTGTCTGATTTCAAGGTATCTGTAGAGAGAGAAATCTACTGATAATCACATAGAAGCAAGGTTACAGGTGACATCATTTTTTCTTGCATCTCTGAAGATTCTCTGTGGCTTTTGAAACTTTGATTGTTGTGTTCTCTTTTGAAGCTCTTCACGTTTATCCTCGTTGGAGATAATTTCCTCTTACTAAAGAATACCTCAGGCATTGTTGCTTTTTGGATTCTTGATCTACACCATCTTTCTTTGTTTTTATTAAAAATTTGTTGTGTTAATATTCTTATTTCCTTATCTCCTGCACGTTTCTGTGCTCTTACTTCAGTTCATTGAGTGTTTTGTGTGTGTGTGGCCCCGCTGATCGTTTTTCTTCTCTGTTTTTAAGTATGTGTTTGCAGTACACAATGGTTGCCGCTGTCACGGGGAGGTAGCCTATGTACATAATGCATCGTAATTCTTTTCTCTGTCTTCTTTCCATTCTCCTCCTCTTCTCCCTCCCTGCTCCTTCCAGCTATTGGTCCCCTTACCAACTGCTAAAGCTCCACTTTCCTCATTTTTTCCCCCTCTAATTTTTTTTGGTATCTGCTTTCGCTCTCACTCTTTACTCCCTCCATCTCTTGTTCCTCGTGTATTTGAAAAAGATTTCCCTATTTACTATTTATCTGTCTTCCGTTTTGCAGTTTATGTATGTCTTTAAGTAACTATTTTGATTTCTTAGGCATTTCATAAATACAGTCTGCCTCAGGTTTTGTGTCTAATGTTTTCTTTATTTCTTTGGTTGGATAATGTTTTCCTGTTTGTTACCCTGTTACCTTTTGTTGAGATTTGTTCACTTAAAAAGCAAATTGCTGTATCATAGTACAGTCTTTATACATAGTGGTATGAGAGTTGCACAGAAACTTAAAAATATGGCTGAAGGTGTGGCTCATACAGCACTGGCTTAGTATGCATGAGTACCTGGGTTTGATCCCTCTTTAACAAAAATAAAACATCAAAATATCCCATGAGAAATGTAATCATTATGTACTACTAAATGATAAACATTAAAAGAACAACTGTATGATCCAGCAATAAAACTATAAGATCTGTATCCAAAGGAAAATGAATCATTATGCTGAAGTGATATCTACAAGCAGTTACCTGCTGTATTATTCACAATAACTATGATACAAAATCAAAGTTCTCTTCAGTGAATGAGTAAATAGGAAGAAGATCACTACTCAGCCATGAAAGCAGAAAACCCTGAAATTTGATGCAGTACAGGCAAATATGCAGGATTTTCTGTAAATGAAGTAAGCCTGATACAATTTTTGAATAATCTCAATTACATGTGAAATCTTAAAAGTTTTATACACACAGAGAATAAAATGTGGTTCCTAGTTCTAAGATTGTTGGAGAATGGGTTGGGATGGTCTTAGATTTCAGAATTTTAGATAAAGTTTAAAAGCTCAAGAAATACAAATGTGAGGAATATAGTTAATATGTTTCATTTATAAAAACTGCTAATCAAATATATGTAGTGTTCCCAGTGTAGAAATGACAGTTGTGTAAAATAATGTGTAATTTGAAAATGTCATGCTGTGCTACACATGTCTGCTGCCTTTCAAACCTATTTTAGTATGTGCCTGTCCTGGAATTATATTTGTAATTTTTCAGTTAAAAAGTTTACCCATATTTCTTAAGACTCCAGTCTTTCCTATAACTTTTGACTATTTGTGGCACTGTCCTCACTTTATTAAGATTTAGATTTAGTCTCAAATAGCCCGAACTGTTTTTTGTTTGTTTGTTTGTTTGTTTTTGTACCAGGGATCAAACTCAGGTCCTTGCGCTTGCAAGGCAGGCGATGGAACCACTGAGCTAAATCCCCAGCCCACCTGAACTGTTTTATAAAATACACCTGTTATCTCTCCCTTGCTGTTTAAAGGCAGATACAAGTCAGTTTTTAGATCACCCTCACAAAACCATAAATTTGTTCATATATTCCACTCTTCTGTTTCCTAGGGTTGCAGAAGTGGATTGAAAGTTTCTTCATAGTTACTCAGTGTGTAAAGTGAGAATAAAGAGTTGTGACTGACAAATTTATCTAGTACACTTCCATCCCATTTTAGAATTGTGCTCAGTAGGAGCGCTATAAACTTTTAATAGATTTTGAGTGTTCTCACAAAGGGAATCTGATCTGAATTTTGTTGTTCAGCTTTTCTGTATTCTGTTATCCTATTCAAGTATTCCACTTACTATAATATTAACTATTAGATTTGTAAAAATATTGACCTAAGTTAAGTAACTGGGATAATTATTATTTTCATTTTTTTCAGGTATGTCTTATCATAATCAAGGATGTTCATCTGAGCTAGAGGTACATCATTCCTTCCATAAAGTGACAAATCAGAGATACAAAACTTGTGGCCATAGCAGCTTACAACTTAGAAAAGAATTGGAAATCATTGATAAGTATGAAGGCGCAAAATCATTTTATAATGGACTTAACCAATGGTGGACATCTAAAAACAGCAGAAACGTCTCTGTCAACAGTAACCAAAAATACATAACATCTAAGAAAATATCTGAATATATGCCACTTTCTTTTAATGATCCATGTGATTCCATAAGTAAACATTCACATCAAATTATGAAACATAACTTTCCTTACAAAGAAAATTTAAGAAAGCTAAAAATGTGTCTAGCTTGTGATTCAGTTCATTACTTGAAAAATTTCAAATTCTTTGACACTGGATTAAATCTTCATTCAAACATTTCTATAGACAAGAGACTTATAAAAGACAAGCAGACTTCTAGATGTGATCATTTAGAGATTTCCTTTATGAAAAATACGTTATTCTGCAAGCATCAAATTGGTCTTTCTTCTGCCATAATAAACAGTTTTAACAAGTATGGAACATTATTTACCCAACCATTAATGCTTAATCAAAATCCTCCTATAGATATTTTGAAAACTCATGGTGTACATAATGAACAAAGGAAGGTCTTTAGTGAGGACTCTACCCAACAAAATTACCAGGATATTTACATTAGACAGACAATTCATCAATGTAGTAAAATTCATGAAAACTTTTCACGTAGCTCAAATCCTAGTAAACATCAGTGTATTCATTTTCTACAGAATATTTACAAATGTGAGAAATGTGGTGAAATCTTTGATCAGTGCTCAAAACTTACTGTCCATCAAAGTATCCATATTCAACACCAGGCAATTGATACTGCAGAGAAACAGTACAGATGTAAAGGATGTGACAAAGTCTTTACCAAAGCTTCAGCCCTTACTCAACACCAGAAAAGTCAAACTGAAGAGAAACCCTACAAATGTAAAGATTGTTGTAGAGATTTTAAACAAAACACAGCTCCTACTCAACATGAGAGAATTCATAGAGGAGAGAACCCTTACAAATGTAGAGTCTGTGGCAGAGCCTTTAAATTTTTCTCAACTCTTACTCAGCACCAGTTAATTCATACGGGAGAGAAACCCTACAAATGTAAAGAATGTAACAAAGCCTTTAATCAAAGCTCTAACCTTACCAGACATCAGAGAATTCATACTGCAGAGAAGCCCTATGAATGTAAAGTTTGTGGCAAAGCCTTTAAATATCGCTCAACTCTTACTGAACACCAGAGAATTCATGCTGGAGAAAAACCCTACAAATGTAAAGAATGTAGGAAAGCCTTTCATCAAAGCTCAAATCTTACTAGACACCAGAGAATTCATACTGGAGAGAAACCATACAAATGTAAAGAATGTGGCAAAGCATTTGCTGGAAGTTCAAATCTTACTTTACATGAGAGAAGACACACTGGAGAGAGACCTTACCAATGTAAAGAATGTGGCAAAGCCTTTCATCAAAGCTCAGCCTTTACTCAACACCAAAGAATTCATACTGGAGAGAAACCCTACAAATGTAAACACTGTGGCAAAGCCTTTGATAGAAGTTCGGCACTTACTGAACACCAGACAATTCATACTAGAAAGAAACCATACACTGCAAAGAACATGACAAAGCCTTTTATTGAAGCTCACATTTTACCAGAACCCAGGAATATATATTGGAGAGAAATCCTACCAATGTAAAGAATGTGGTATAAAATATGATCAAAGCTCAACCCTTGCCGAACCCCAAAAATTTATAGTGGAGAGAAGTCCTAAAAATGTGATAAAACTTTTACCAGTATTCCGTATTCAAATTTTAGACAACATCACCATATTCATGTTAGATAAAAATCTCCACAAGGCAAAGCTTCTGGAAAAGCCTGTAACTGTTCTTCACATCTTATTCAACATTAAAAACTTTACACTAGAAAGAAAACATACAAATGTAAAGATTGTGTCAGATTGTTTAATCAAACCTTAAAGCTTTTTATACATTAAATAACCTCAATTTTGAAAACTAGATAATAAAAAATTTAAATTGATCTTTATATCCTCCAAACAAAACTGCTTTCTGACAGTTAATGAAGTTTGTGTGTATTTGTAGAGAAAACGCAATAAATTTTGAATTATTTTCTTTAAACTTTCAGTTTTTTAGTGAATAAAAGAAAGGCTCATAATGTGCTAACAGTGTTGAGTAGTGAATGATATTCTTCCACAGACATTAAACTCTTCTGTTTTGTTCAATTTTTTAGGAATCAGATGCTACTGAGCAAATAGAATAACAACATTTCTAGTAGTCATTTTTCCTGGGGTCATTGAAATTGATATAATTTGGAGACCAATATTTTCATTAGTAAATAGCTTTGTTTATCTCTCTATATGTAATTACTGGAAAATTACAATACTGAAATGTGAAAAAATGCCTTCCTGAATTGTTAATTGCTATTTTTAAGTTTATTCTGGTTTATTTTCACTTCTTACTCCTTTAGAGTTGCAAAATGCAGAACTTTGTATTAATTTACATTAACTGAAAAGAATACATATTATCCAATGATAAACTTCAAGAATAGTTGAATTGTATAATTATGTACTGCATATGTGTGTAAATTTATGTCTGAGTGAATACTTATTGAGAGGGAAACAAAATTACTGAAAGAAAAGATAATTTCAAAAGATGTGATTATTTACTAGTGAACAAGAAACCACATATGATTAAAAAGTTCTATTTGCCTACATATATTTACTCAAGATGTTGTTCCTGATTCTTTTTGCTAAAGCTGACCATTTTTATTTATTCATTAGTAATGTAGAACTTCTATGGTGTACTAGTGGAAATTTATGGAGCATTTTACCTGTGCAAAATTTTTCATAATGAGTTTTTCATATTTAAATTGTACAAAGTTTATTTTGAAAATATAATTCCACGACAAGCACAGTTAGGCTCCTTTTCTTTAAATGGTGTATCAATATTTAACTCTGATAGAGAATAATTTAAATTAATTTTAACTTGTTCTTTTCCATTTGTTCAAAGATTCTATATAGTTTAATGTATTCATTGAACCGACTTTTTCAGATGAAAATTCCTGAGGCTTTTGAATGCTGTGGTTTTGAATTTTATGTGAAATATTCAGAAACAAATCCCTCTGCCTGAGCATTGCAGTGTAGATATAATGTGTAGTGTTTGTGTTGGGGCTATGGTTAGGGTTAGGTTTAGAGTTAGGTAGAGAGTTGGAATTTCACTACTTTTGTGCTGGAGTATGGGTTTGATGGTTAGGTTTAGTGTTAATTTTAGGATTGGGGTTATGAAAGGTTGAGGAATATAAGCACTGGGTTAGGGCTCTTGGTTGGCTTAGGGTTATGTTTAGGCTTTGGTTCAGCAATAGTCTTGATATCTCAGTACCTGTGTATTGGAGCATGAGTTTCATAGTTAGTATCAGCATCAGATTTTGGCATAAGGGATAAGATGAGTGGAGGATTTCCAGTACCGCTGTATTGGAATTTGGGAATAATGCTGAGGGTTAGTGTTAGGTTTAGTTTTGGTGTCAGGGATATGGATGGAACTCAAGTACCTAATATGATTGTGAGAAAGAATGTTAGGGCAAGGAATTTTTTGAGGGTGAGGTATACTGTGTGATTCCAAGTACCTCAGGAATGCAGTGAAGATATAATGGGTAGTGTTTGTGTTGGGGCTAGGGTGAAGATTAGGTTTAGGGTTAGGGATAGATTCAGAATTTTAGTACCTTTGTGCTGGAGTATGGTTTTCATGTTTAGTTTTAGTGCTAATTTTATTAATAGGGTTCATAATGGGATAGGAATGTAAGTGTCTAGATTAGGATTCGTGGTCAGGTTAGGGTTTGGGTTAGTCTTGAGGTCAGGAATATGCTTAATATTTCATTCCCTGTGTATTGGAGTGTGGGTTTCTGAGTATGGGCATCCTATTTGGCTTTGGGGACAGCATGATTGTAGGATTTTATGTACCACTTTATTGGAACTCAGGAATCATGTTGAGGTTTAGGGTGTTAGGTATTATGAGCAATACAGATGGATTTGAAGTACCTCATAATGACTGAGTCAGGATGAATGGTAAGGGAAGGATTTTAATGAGGGTGATGCTTACTCTGGGATTTCCAAGACATATACATTTCAGTATAGATAAAATGGGTATTGTTTGGGTCGGGACTATGGGTAGGGTTAACTTTATTTAGAGTTAGAAATCGATTCGATTTTCACTACCTGTGTACTGGAGTATGGGTTTGATGTTAAGGTTTTTCGTTAATTTTAGGATTAGGGTTAGTCATGGGTTAGGAATATAAGTACCTGGGGTAGGGTTCCTGGTTGGGTTAGGGTTAGGGTTGGGGTCAGTGATAGTCTTGATATTTCATTACCTGTGTATTGGATTGTGGGTTTCATAGTTAGCATGGACATCATTTTTGGCCTTACAGATGATCGTAGGATTTCATGTACCTCTGTATTGGAACTCGGGAATCATGTTGAGAGTGAAGGTAAGTATTAGGTTTTGAGTGAGGAATATGGATAGAATTGAAGTACCTGATAATGACTGTGTCAGGATGAATGTTAAGGGAAGGACTTTAATGAGGCTGAGGCCTTCTCTGGGATCCCAAACACATATGCTTTCCAGTATAGATAAAATGGTTAGTGCTTGGGTTGGGGCTAGGGTTACTGTTGGCCTTAGGTTTAGAAATCGATTTGGAATTTCACTACCTGTGTACCGCAGTATGGGTTTGATGTTAAGGTTTGGTGTTAATTTTAGGATTAGAGTTAGTAATGGGTTAGGAATGTAAGTACCTGGGTTACCGTTCGTGGTTGTGTTTGGGTGATGGTTAGGGTTATCAACGATAGTGTAGCAATTTTAGTACCTGAATATTCGAGTGTTGATTTCACAGTTTGTGTCAGCATTAGATTTGGCTTTGGGGTTAAGATGAGTGTATCATTTCAAGTAACACCATATTGGAAATTGGCATTAATGATGAAGGTTAGGTTTAGTTTTGGTGTCAGGGATATGGATAGAATTAAAATAATTAATTGTGAGAAAGTATGTTTGGCAAGAAATTTTATGAGGGTGAGGTATACTGTGCAATTTCAAGTCGCTGAGCATTGCAGTGTAGATATAATGGGTAGTGTTTGTGCTGGGGCTAGGGTTAGGCTTAGGTTTCAGTTAGGGATAGATTCAGAATTTCACTACCTTTGTGCTGCATTATGGGTTTGATGTTTAGTTTTAGTGTTAATTTTATTATTAGGGTTCACAATGGGATAGGAATGTGAGAACCTAGGTAGGGTTCGTGATTGTGTTAGGGTTAGGTTTAAGCTTGGGGTCAGCGATATTCTTGATATTTCATTCCCTGTGTATTGGAGTGTGGGTTTCATAGTTAGCATGGGCATCCTATTTGGCTTTAGGGATAAGATGATTGTAGGATTTCACATACCGCTGTATTGGAACTCGGGAATCATGTTGAGGGTTTGGGAACTATTCGGCATTGTGTGAGAAATATGGATGGAATTGAAGTACCTGATAATGACTGTGTCAGAATGAATTTTAAGGGAACGATTTCAATGAGGCTTAGGCATACTCTGGGATTTCAAAGACATATACATTGCAGTATAGATAAAATGGTTAGTGTTTGGGTTGGTGCTAGGGTTAGAGTTAGCTTTAGGGTTAGAAATCGATTCGTAATTTCACTACCTGTGTAATGGAGCAAATGTTTGTTGGATATATTTAATGATAATATTATGATTAGGCTTAAGAATGGTTTATTAATGTAAGTTCCTTGGTTAGGCTGGTTGTTCAGTTAGGGTTAGTGTTAGGGTTGGGGTGAGTGATGGTGTTGGCATTTTAGTAATTGTATATTGGGTTGTGGGTTTCATAGTTTTAGCGTTTGGTTTGGCCTCCAGGTTAAGATGAGTGTAGCATTTCAGGTAACACTGTTTGGGAACTATGGAATAATGTGGAGACTTGGGGTTAGTTTTAGTTTTGGTTTCAAGGATATGGATAGAATTCAAGTACCTGATAATTTGATGTGAGAAAGAATGTTAGGGCAAAGAATTTTATGATGTTGGGGTATTATGTGTGATTCCAAGTACCTGAGCATTGCAGTATAGATGTAATGGATCGTGTTTCATTTGGTTCTAGGGTTAGCGTAAGCTTTACGTTTAGAAAGAGATTCAGAATTTCACTACCTGTGTCCTGAAGCATGGATTTGATGGTTAGATTTAGTGTTAATATTATGATTAGGGTTAAGAATGGCTTAGGAATGTAAGTACCTGGGTTAGGCTTGGCGATTCGATTAGGGTTAGCATTAGGTTTGGGATGGGAGATAGTGTTTTCGTTTTAGTACCTCTGTATTGGAGTATGAGTTTCATATTTTGTCAGCATTAGATTTGGCCTCAGGGTTAAGATGAATATAGCATTTCAATTAATGATGTATTGGTACTTGGAAATAATGTTGAGGGTTAGGGTTAGATTTAGTTTTGTTGTCAGGGATATGGATGGAATTCAAGTACCTGATAATTTTATTTTGAGAAAGAATTTGAGTGCAAGGAATTTTCTGTGGGTGATGTGTACTGTTTGATTCCAAGTACCTGAGTATTGCAATGTAGATATAATGGGTAGTGTTTGTGTTGGGGCTAGGGTTAGGTTTACGGTTAGGTATAGATTCAGAATTTAATAACCTTTGTGCTGCAGTATGTGTTGGATGTTTGTTTTAGTGTTAATTTTAGGATTAGGGCTAGCAATTGATTAGGAATGTAATTACCTAGGTCAGGGTTCATCATTGGTTTAGGGTTATGGTTTGGTTTGTGTTCAGTGATAGTCTTGATATTTCAGTACTGTATATTAGAGTTTGGGGTGTCTAGTTAGTATCAACATCATATTTCATGTTAGAGATAAGGTGCTTGTATGAATTCAGGTACCACTGTACTGGAAATTGGGAATAATGCAGGTGATGGTAAGTATTAGGTTTTGTGTCAGGATTATGGATGAAATTAAAGTACCTGATAAATAAAGTGTCAGAATGAATGAAAGGCAAAGTTTTTGTTGTTGTTGTTTGTTTGTTTGTTTGTTTTTGAGACAGGATCAAAGATTTAATGAGGGATAGGTGTACTCTGGGATACCAAGGATGTATAAATTGCAGAATAGATATAATAGGTAGTGTTTTGCTTGGGACTAGGGTTACCATAAGCTTCAGGTTTAGAAGGAGATTCAGAATTTCACTACTTTACTGGTGTATGGGTTTGATGGATAGATTTAGTGTTAATATTATGATTAGGGTAAGAATGGTTTAGGAATGTAAGTTCCTGTGTTAGGCTTCATGGTTCTGTTAGGGTTAGG